ATATACCACGAGAGAGCTAGTTGGCCACGAAAAGTTCGACGTTTGTGTTGAGTGTTGAATATTGTTTTTCTGAAAATTGAAGTATTTTGGTGAATTCAATAATTCTTTCTGTTTGTTGTTTCATTGTCAGCTGAATTGGCATTGTCTCTAAAAAGCATTGTATATTGCGCACATGCAGTTTTGTTGTTCTAACCAGAATTCGAGTTATTTGAAAGAAACAATTATGTATCAGAATGATCAGATGCGGGTTTTGTTGTTCTGTTTATAGTTAATCGAGCTAGATTCGCAGAATTATTGGTGTAGTTGAATTATTGAAGTGGTGATTTTAGTTTATCCTCCATTGTCAAATCTCGGATTGTTACAGAGTCTTGTTCAGAGAATTTGATCTGAATTGATTAGCTATATTATATTTTCTGTTTATATGAACGAGTTGGTTTATTAGTCACACTATATACATAGTTTATTTGTAGTAATTATATGGTTTTTGTAGAAAAAAAACATACGTAATAAAACAAAAAAAAAGAAGATTTATATGCCGAGTATTGGCATATGAATTCCTCTTTGACAGCAGCACAGTTCTATCGGTGCATTTCTTAGGAGTTGTTTTTTTCGTCTTTGAGTCTTTGCTAGTAAGTTGCGTCCCCCGGTCTTTGCTCCAGATTCTGGACACGGTACGAAATTTTACCGTCTCCGAGTCAGCGGCACGTTTTTCTGTTAATTCGTTTTGTTCGTTGCCCCGACAATTGCGTTCGTCGCGTGTTTTCTCGCGGCCGCAAACAAAAATATTATGTTACCAGGTGTCGTTTTTGAAATTTGTGTGCAGATGTTCTCTTTAGTAGTACCAAAATCAGAATATGATGATGAGTCATAGGGTTGGGTGCACCGCCAAAGCAAGTGGGGAGGACACGCGACAGCGCGGCGGAAGCGACGCGAGAGTGAGAGCAGAGGGAGAAGGTCGATTTGCTTGGGTAGAAAACGTATCTATTTGCGAGTTATATGTTTTGTCCCGTTGGGGAGCAAAAGTCGCAAGTTTGTTTTTGGAGTCGGTAGGAAATAAAAAAACTAGCTCGCAAGTTCATATTTTTTCTGTCGGGAAATATGAGAAGGTCTTAATTCGCGAGTTAAAATTTTTTTTGAGGTGGAGGTGCATGGTCGAGATGAAAAGTATTACCTCGCCGGTTAGATTTGTTGTGTATCGTGACTATACATAATTTAGATTTGCGAGGGTTTTTCGATTGTCATTCAAATCTATAAAACCTGAATTTTCAGGCGGAATTTGTCGCATATTAGGTATACAAAAGCAGGGGCGTGTTCGATGCGTGCGGTCATTTGCATTTTTGGTATAAAAATTAGCGATTCATGTTTCGTGTTTTTTTATGTGCATGGAATTGTCCGATTTGTGCATAAATCAAACGTAGGTTTTTGGTTGCGCGCGTTCGAGGTATCACCGCGATTGTCACTTGCAGCACCGTTGGGAGGATCGATGCATGATTGGAGACAGTTTTTGCGACAGTATTTAATTTTGTCCAGACAGGCGGGAGCAGGTGAGAATTTCACGCATGCCAGTCCGTTTTATCGAGCATCTATGATTTCGAACCAATGAGTTGTTGAGGGAGAGCGCGACGTGTGCAAGCCGTGCAAGAGTTAAATTCTCAACACCGTTAGACCGAAACAAGTTGTTCGGAAAGAAGCATTGCTAAAATCGAAATCCGCATAATTGATCAGGGAATTAAAATAATATGGTTTTCGTTTCCAGATTCATATTTTAAATTTACGTAGCTATACGTATTGAAAAACCATTGTTGTTCAACCATGGAAATTGTTCAACATCATTGGTGATCCTTAGAATCCGACGCACGCAATTCCCTATCAATTTCATACATGTGCATTGCAAGGAAATATGTGTTTTCCATGCAACACCATATTCAAGAAAGACGGTTTCCAGTGCAAGAAAACAGATTCCAATATGTATGGATGCACGTATATGATCATTGATTGTTATAGTTTACTTCAGATTTTCGTATCGATCAAAGTAAATTTGAAGAATAACTTCCGAGATATTGGTTTGTTGTTCCAGGGTTGAATTTCGTGATTGTTGGGAATTAGGTCCAGATGTTCGAAACCGTTTTGAATTTTGCTTTCGTTTTTCATTCGTGATTCGATACAATTGGGGCGCAGGAGCTCGTCGTGTAGAGTTTTCCCGGCACGTAGCAGTTAGAGGAGTCGGGTGGATGTTTCTAGCATGGAGTGTGGTTGATCGTGTTGCATTGGTTTTTTTTGTCTGCTTGTCGTCTTCAAGATGTGGCATCATTTTTAGGGAATTTTTTGGCCGGCGCACTTTTCCGGAACTGAGTTTTGATGGTGAGGATTCGTTGCTTCTCTGAGGTCGCATGGATAACATGTTCATGTCGACTTTTTTTTTCCGTTCTTCCTCGCGCTCATGGGTCGTTCTCTGGAAGGCTAACCTGTTTTTCCCGGAGTTTTCAGTCTAAATAGTCTGTGAAGATGAATTCGTGTTCTTTTCTATTTTTCCATGTTCTTGCCGCCCCTTTCGCCCGTTCTCTGCTGTCAGGTTGCGCTGCGCTTGGCGTATCTTGAAGATCTTCGCGTTGATAGCGGCGCTGGGCCTGATGTGCCGGCTCGTGTATTGCGGTTTTGCAGTGCTGAATTAGCTGTCCCATCTGTGCTCCTCGCGCGAAATATTTTGAACAGTGGCCGCTGGCCTCGTTTTTGGATTGTGCATTGGATTCGTCCGTTCCGTAAACGTGCGTCATAGCGCAGCGCCGATCATTGCCGAGGGCTTAAGCTTACCTCTCAGTTGTCCAAGGCTGTGGCGTTTCATTTGTAGTCTATTTCTCTTTCCCCTCATTCGTTATAGTTTCATGTCGCCTACGCGCCAGGCCCAGACGTAGCCGGTGGTTTTGACAGAGTGTCAGCAGAACGGCTCCATGCTTTGTTTCCTTCTTCCAACCTCCACCAAACAGAATAGCTGTGATAGATGACTGGCTTGCTCCGCGGTCTGCCCATGTAGTATGACGGTGCATTCTCGAAGTGCATTTCCAAGTCAAACATGGTGTATCAAGGAATCGTGTTCGGCCCTAACTTGTGGAACGAATTTTATGCTGGCGCTCGAGATCCTACTGTCAATAGCGGCTTCCAGGAAATAGTGTTTGCCGACATGATTGCATTTAAACGTTTTGATAATTCGATTGACGATCGCACTATCTTTTCTCTACTAGGAGCGTGCCGGCAAGAGCTGCATAAATGGGGGCGCGCGAGTGGTGTGACTTTTGAGCCCGACAAAGAAAGCAGTCACATTTTGCATTCATCTCCCGTGGGTGACAACTTCAAAATCTTAGGCGTAGTCTTTGATTGTAAGTTGCTAATGCACGAATCCATCAGCAGTTGCGCATGCGAGGGTGGGTGGAGGTCGTTGCATATAATAGCTTGCCGGCACTTTTTTTCTACGAGGGAACTTATCTTCCTGTACAAGAGCCATGTACTCTCGTATTTGGAGTACCGTGCGCCTGCTGTTTCTCGCGCTTCTTCTTCCTCCCCCCTCCTCCTCGACGGCGTGCAGCGCCGCTTCCTGCAGGCGCTTGGAGTGTCAGAACTGGATGCCTTAATGCATTTTTCTGTGGCTCCTCTCGCTGTCCGCCGGGACATCGCTATATTGGGATTGATTCACAGGGCGGCGCTGGGCAGGGCCCGAGCGTGTTTCGACAGTTTTTCGCTCTTAACCCCTCCCGCCCCCTTCGTTTTCGCCCCCTCCGCCTCCTCTCGTCGTCCCGCGAGGCACCTTGTTGACCCAGCAGCAGCCCGCTCTCCAGATTGCGTAACTCGCTCTGCCCTCGGGGCAGTACGCGTGTGCAACATTCTTCCAGTCAGCATTATTGAGCAGATCACGGTGTAACAATTCCAGGCGAGCCTTCAAGCACTGGTGTGCTTCTCTGCGCGTAATGGATTGGCGTCGTGGCAGGCCCTCGTTGAGCTGGCGCCACCCTTTTGTTTTTCACCCTCTTCTCGCCCACCGGGATTGGCGGCCTGTTTAAATCCAATCCTTCATGGTTTCACTCCATGTTTAACCATCGGTGAGGTCCCGTGCTGTCCGAGGCGTGATAAAACAATGGAACAATTTAAAATATGAAGGATACTAAGAATACATACTTAGAAGAAATATAAAACTGGGGGCCGGCGGTGAACTGTCAACCTTGGTTGCCGCCGGGAACTCGTGGAGCTTCCTCGTGCAATGCGGGCGCGGCAATCTCGCATTGCGCGCGCGAGGGCGCGGTCTCATGGAGGAGGACGTGAAGGAGAAGAAGGAGTGAGGGGACAGCATCTCTGAGAACAAATTGACATGCCAGACCGAGTTCAGGCGTCTGCGCCTGTTGATTTCCTTCCGATTGTTGTGCCGAACAGCTCTGTTGCTCATGTGCAGCTCGAGTTAAGTGAAGGAAACCAGCGCCATCTTTAAACAACAAACAGAGCACGAACAGCTTTTCGGACCCAGCGCTGATGGCAGACCGAGTTCAGGCGTCTAGATATTTTCTTTGAATCAGTAACTGTTTTAGCATGCCAGCCTTGTCTGCAAACTCCCAATAGACGCCCTTTAGCCTCGAGAGGCCCCGAGTGCGCTTCAGCTTCTATTATTGCGATCAGTGTCAGTGTTTGGCAGTTTCAGCTTGCATCGTTGCCCTTCTCAGGTTTGCGCCGTTGCGTGGCCGTTTCGCTCAAACCAGCTTGAGGGGCCCCTCTTGTAGAGCCGCCAGCCGGCGACTTCAGACAGATAACTCAACATATACAGATCCACAGGCAAGCACAGCACACAGCAGACATATCAGCGATCTGAGATTGCCGGGCCCGAGGCCCGAATCATTATTCCGCTCCCGCTGGGAGCTACATGCGCAGGGCTGCAGGCCGTGGTCACGCTCCGCTCGCGGCAGTGAAAACAAGTCCGATCACAGAGGTAGCGCACGTCGTGAAGTTGAGTTCTCGCCACGATGTCGCACCCGCCCGCGGAACGCGGAGACGATGGGGAGAGCAACGGTGCCTTGAGGAGGCGCCGTGGTCGGCGCGGCCGAGGCGGCAGCAGCGCCTCAGACGACGCCGACGATGACCCGCTCTACCCCCGCGGCCCCGCCCCTGGAGTCCGATGGCGCGGAGGTGCACCGCCGGCGGCCCCGACCTTCTCGGGGGGTCGCAGAGCGGGCCCGTGCTGTTGGGGGCACTGGCGTGATGCGGTGGCCGCCTGGAAGTTCCGAGTCAAGCGCTACCTGCCGCTCGCCGAGGCGGCGTTGCAGCTCAGAGATGCCGTCGCAGGGGAGGCGCTGAAGGAGACCATCTCCGACCCGCCGATGACATGGGCCACCCAGGACGTCATCGAACGTTTGGTTGAAGTTATGCGCTCGCCCTGCGGCGAGGAGGGGATTTTCCACGCGGGTGACCTGCTGGCAGCGTGCGAGAGAATCAAGAGGGGTCATGGTGAGAAGCTCCACGCTTACTGCACCAGGTACGTCAGAGTTGAGCGTGCGCTCGAGCAGGTCAAGATCAATATCGCCGAGTCTCTAGACGCCTAGGCTCGCGGACACCGCTTGCTGAGCACGGCGCTTCTCGGCGAAAAACATGTTCGAGGTGTTCTTTCGATTTCCCACAGTTTCGAGTTCGACGGGGTCATGAACGCCATCGGGCGCCTGTGCCCTGAGAGGGCGGCGGCGCCGCCAGTGGCCTGGCCGCGCCGCGAGAGGGCGCCGGGCGACGACCGCGAGCGAGGCCACGGGCAGGAGCCTGGCGGCGGCCCTCGGCGGCAGCAACCACCTGCGCCGCCCAGCCGCCCCGGCCTGCTGGACAGGACATCGGCTCCGCGGCCGCCCCCGCCTCGCCACGCGGTGAACGCCACCGAGGCCGCGATCGAGGAGGATCAGCTCGGCGAGGAGGCTGCCGAGCACGAGGATGAGGTGGACGGCCAGCCAGATGACGATGAGCCCAATGCGGAGGAGGCCGCCGACCAGGAGCCCGCCGAGTTCGATGAAGTGTACGAGGCTATGACAGCCTTGAACGACGTTCTCAGCATCGCGTCTCAGAAGCTGAAGGGGATCACTCAAGCTAGAGGTTTTTCTCACGCCAAGGGGAAAGGAGGCTCTCGCTCGTCCGCACCTCGCCAGGGCGCCGACCAGATCGAACAGAGAAAGACGACGGAGGCGTGCTTGGATTGCGGAGAGCTCGGCCGCTGGGCTGGGGACGCCGCCTGCAAGAAGCCAGGCGCCAAGCTCGGACCGAAGCCTTCCAGTTCTCGCGTTGGACCTCCAGCAAAGCATGGAGGGCAGAGAAAACCGTTTCATACATCTATGGTCTCTTCTTCCTCCGCTTCCGCCCCTGCCAGCTCCGCCCACGTTACTTCGTCCTCTACCATGTATGCTTGTATGATGTCTCAGTCAGTCTTCAAGGGCCTGGCAGTCGGAGATTCAATCGAGTATATCGACGAGTTTGACGGTAAGAGTTGGATGATTGCCGATCCCGCGTGCCAGAGGATGGTCCATGGATCCGCATGGGGGAACACTCACACCCAGAGGCTCGAAGACAGATCCCTGCCCCTCGTCAAGTGGGCCGTCCAGGAGAGGTTCAAGTTCGGTGAGGGCCCCGAGATCCACTCAGTCCTCCGATGGGGTTACCCGATAGGCATCGCAGGTGTGGCGCTCTGGGCTAGGTCTTCCGAGGTGTCGTCCGAGATTCCCCTACTGGCCTCCAACGAGTTCATGGTCTTGGGAGCCTCCATCAACATGTTCGTGGGGGCAATCAGCTTCTTGGGGATCGGGGTTTACGACCTCCCGCTTCAGAGGGCCAGGAACGGCCAGCTCATCGTGTGCATCTCCGATTTCCCGAACGAGTTACCCGACTTCTCGGATTGGGACACCTTGGATGAGGACGTCATCTTACCCCCCGATGCGAAGATCAACTGTGAACACCGTCGAGAGCGACACCTCGAGCGAGTACAACTGAACCAGGGGACTTCGGCGAGCGAGTCTACTAAGACGGACGTGCGACGATGCCAGCGATGCGTGCACTTCGACATTGCCGACGACGGCCTAACCGAGTACGAGACCCCCGAGGGCGCCATCGAGATCGAGCGGTCCGAGTCGACTCTCCAGCCGTCTTCGGTCAAGCAGCCGAGTTCCAGCAGCTGCCAGCTTTCCATATCCGAGCCTTCGGCTCCTTCCATATCCAGCCAGTCCGCCGCAGCGGATGCGGCCGCAGATCCGCGAGAGATGGAACCGACTTCTCATGCGCTTGTGGGCGGTCATCTACACGGCCCTGAGCGCAGGTCAGGCCTTCCGAGCTTCGTTGATGACGGGCCCGGGCTTTCGGAACGCGTTCCTGAAGGCGACGCCGCTCCTGGCTGCCTTCGTCAAGGGATGCGCCGAGGGTCTGAAGGCGCACGAAGCCTACCTGGACATGAAGGCGCCCAAGAGACGCGAGCCGTGCGACCACCAGGACTCGACCACGGGGGTCTCGACCATCAAGGAGTACTGCGCGGGTCGCCACGGGTGGTACGCTAGGTGCCAGCAGCCGGCGCGCCAGATGAGGTGGAAGTGGATCGTCACCGACGCCCAGTGGATCGAGTATCCCGACGACTTTTCCAAGTCATCGCGGGCATCCTCCTCGCGGCCGCCGCCGCTGTCACCGGCAGCCATAGCAGCGAGGAGCACCGCGTCGCCAGCAGCGCCGAAAGCATCATCTTCGAGACCCTCAGTCCCAGCACAGTCCTTCACGGCGCCCCGCTGCAAGGTGATGCCCAAGCAGGCGCCAGCCAGGCGCCGCCGCCCCAGGGATACCGACGCCATCATGATGGAGGACGACTCGGACGGGGAGATATCCAACGAGGGCTTCGAGGAGCTCTGAAGCGTCACATCGGCGACCTCAACCGCACCATCTCCGCGCTCGAGGTCGAGGCTAAGGTTCGGGACGTCGTTGACAGCGCCGCCCGGCAGGTCAACGCCGAGGCGCCGCACCGCGTGCACATCCTCGAGGGCTTCGCCGGACAGGGGAACATCGCCAAGCGCGCACCTCTTCGGCCTCACCGCTCTGCAGCTCGTCGACCTCATCTACGGCTTCGACCTGGGCACGGTCGCTGGTCGACGGAGTTGGAACCACGCCATCAAGACGTTCAAGCCGCTGGTGGTTATCATGGGTTTCCCCTGTACGAAGTGGTGCTGGTACAACTACGCGATTAACTACCGTGACTTCCCCGACCTCCTCGCATCCCTCCAGGACGAGGATCGGCCGCTGCTCAAGCTCGTCGTATGGACCGCTCTCGAGCAACAGAAGAACGGCAGGTACTTCCTCCTCGAGAACGCCGATAGGAGCCAGGCGTGGGAGCAGCCCGAGTTCGACCCGCTCTGGAAGGACCACCACACCGTCTGGGGACGCGGCGACAGCTGCCCCTACAACCTCAGGGCCCTCAACGGCGAGCTGATGCGTAAGACGCGGACGTGGGTAAGCAACCATCCCAAGTTGCTGGAGTCGGTGACCCGCAGGTGCGATCGTAGCCACAGTCACGCTGAAGTTCAAGGGCGCGATACTTCCCGCTTTCAGGTATTCACCGAGGAGCTCGCAGACAGCATCCTGACCGTCGTGCAGCAGGTGGTTGCAGTCCGATCGCCTGCTTCGCTGGCATGGACATCTAGCTACGACCAGTGCCGATACGAATGGCACCCTCAGGACAGCACCCCCGCGGACTACCACGACCAGCTCTACGCCGCCTGGTTCGTCGACGTCGACCGCGACACCGTCGAGTGGCAAGTTGTTCTCACCCAGACGATGCTCATGATGGAGGATCGGGCCCGGGACACCTGGGAGCTTCCGCCAGGCCACGAGATCTACCAGCGCATCCAGGACCTCGTGCCATGGGAGCTCGTTCGAGTACAAGCCGCTCGAGTACCGAAAGCGCGTAGGCATGCAGTCGACATCGTCTACCGCCACCGCGGCATGGCCGCCATCGCCTACGCAGGTAACATCATCGTCGAGACTGAAGCTCTGAAGGACGTCCAGTACCCGAAGCTCCGCTTCAGCGAGCCGATCGCCCTCGCCATCTTCTTCTTCGGGAGCGCGCCTGAGTCGGCCAGCGCCGACGGCGAGCCGCCTTCCGAGGTACCGCAGCCAGGACCTGCTGCTGCCCAAGTTCACCCTGAGAGCGCCGCGGAGCCTCCAGTGGAAGAGCCGGGCCCGCGTCCGCCGGCGCCGCCAGTTCAGGCTGCCGATCTCGACCTCTACTCTATCGCAGGGTGCCGCATCGAGTTCCCTAACCTCAGCGACGACAAGTGCCCCCGCGAGATCAAGGCGATGGTCGCCCATCTACTGTCATCGCGGACACGCCGGTCGCGAAGATCTCCGACGTTTCTGCGCCTGGCAGGGGGCCATGCCATCAGTCTACTTGGCGATCGACTTCCTGAAGTGCGAGGCCTGCGAGCGGACTCGCCCGCCAGCTAGGCCAAAGCCGATCTCCGCGACGACTCGGTACCTGGGTCAGTTCGGCGAACACCTCCAGGCCGACTTCTTTACTATCGTGGACGTCACCAACACGCCGCACCACATGCTCGGTATCATATGCCTCAACACACACCTCCACCGCGTGAAGCGCGTGGTCGACCGCTTCCCAGAGACAGCCGTGTCCGCCTTCCTGGAGGCATGGGTCTCACCGTTCGGCATGCCGATTGCCATCGCCGTCGACATGGACGGCAGCTTCATGGGCAACTTCAAAGAGCGGCTCGAGTCGCACGGGGTCAACGTCTCCTACTGCCCGCCCGACGTACATTGGCAGATCGGGACCGTCGAGAGGCATAACGCGTCATGGAGGTGGATCTGGAATCGGACATGCGACGCCTGCGCCGTGAAGACCGCCGAGGAGGTCGACATGACTACCATTGCCGTCAGCGAGGCCAAGAACAATGCAGTTCGTTGGGCCAGGCGCTCCGCTAACCAGTGCGTCCTGGGAAGGACTCCTCGTATTCCTGGTGAATTGCTATCCGACGGTCACGGCCTTGCCGTCGCCGCCAACGCCACTAACTCGCAGCACGTGATGAACAGCGACTTCTACCGCATGGAGGCCAACATCCACACGGCCCACTTCAACTACGAGCAGCACGTGAGGAAGTCGCCCCTCAGGAAGACCAGCCACTTGCGCTACGACCTTGACAAGCTCGTCGCAGGCCAGCAGGTTGGATGCTGGCGCCGGGACGCCAAGAAGCGCCCCAGCGGCAAGTGGTCGCGCCCAGGTTTCGTCATTGGCACTTTCCTACAATGGGACGGCGGACAACAAGGACACGGACTCGGCCGCAACGCTTGGTTCAGAGTCGGTTAGACCATCAAGCTCTTCAGCCGCGAACAGCTTCGACCAGCCATTGGTTTCGAGCACTGGGTACCCGATGCCAAGGACATTGAGGTTCTCAAGAACAGCTACGACCTCATGAAGGACGACCTCTGGGAGGACGAGCGAGACGCCGGGCCCGCGCCCGACGACCTGGCGGAGGAGGCCGACATCTTCGTCGACGACGGCCGCAACCTTCTTCCAGGCCGCGAAGGACTTCTGCCTCCACAGCCTGCCGATGCCGATCTTCCTGGAGCTCAGCCTGTCCCAGTCGAACCGCCACCAGCTGCGGCGGCCCCGCCCCAGCCAGAGGCGATTCCGTCCGAGCAGACGCCGGTCGAGACCGAGGTTCCGCGCACGATCCCTATGGACGCGGAGGTCACCCAGGCCCCCAGGCCGCTGACTCCGTCTCCGCAGAGCCGAACACGATCGAGACTGATCTGAAGGTCAGCACCCCGCGGTCGCCTCGCAGCCGGGCCGCCGAACACGAAGTCCCTCCAGAGGCCGACCCTCCAGACGAGAAGAGGCCCCGCGTGTCTACCTTGTGCGCCCAGGCTTGGCTGACTTCCATCTGGGCCACCGAGGTCGGGGACGGTGCCGACGGCTCCGACGAGATGCCCGCCGTGTTCGCCAACGTCAGCCCCTACGCCGACTACGCGGACGAGATCGAGATCATCTACCAGGTGAACGCCATCGTCGCCGACGACGGGCCCAAGCTCCCCCTGGTGCCCGACTCCGAGGACGACGAGCCTGCCGACCAGAACCAGCCCACCATGACGAGGGCCGAGCGGAAGGCCTACGACCGCGAGTTACTTTGGCGCGAGAGCATGAGTATGGACGGCTCCACCATCCAGAGCTTCCTGCAGGCCACGCGCAAGGAGTACAGCAACTGGGTCAAGTGGGCGCCGATGGTCGCAGTGGCAGACGTCGTCGCCAAGGACATGCTCAACTCGCCCGAGATCCGCAAGAGCTGCATCCGGGCGCGATGCTGCTATCGTGACAAGAACTGCGGCCAAGGAGAGCTTGCTGCGAAATGCCGGGGAGTCGCCGTCGGTTGCAGCGACCCGAGGCTCGAGGCGCTCGAGCGGAGGTCTCCCACTACGCAGCGCATCAGCTTCTTCACAGCATGCCAGATCCTCGCCACCATGAAGATCTACGACCCAGAGGGCAACTGGACCGCCTGTGTTGGCGACCTCGGGAACAGCTTCTTCCAGGGCAGCCGCGAGAGGGAGGACAAGGTCTACCTCATTCCGCCGCGTGACCCACTGGTCATCGCCACCCGCTCCTGGCCAGATACGTTGTACGAGGTGACCGGCAACATCTACGGTTTCGCCGACGCCCCGCTGGTATTGTGTCGTCACATTCGACACAAGATGTACGATTTGGGTTTCGTGAGCCATAGCCTGGACGTGATGTGTGTTCTGAAGTTCGATAAGGGACGTTTATTGGCCATCGTTTTGTGGTACGTCGACGACATGTTCGCCGTATACGCCAAGAGCCGTTTCGACTTCTCCCAGCTGGAGAAGGTTTTCGTGTGGGGCAAGCTCGTGTATCTGCCTCAGGAGCTTGTGTGGTGTGGGCGCGAGATCAACCAGTACCACGACGGCCGAGTCGTCATCATTCAGAAGGAGTACGTCAAGGGTTTAGAGGCATCGCCGCATCCCATCCAGCCGCATCCGAGAGGGAGGGTCCCTTATACCCGCAGAACGGACCGAGATGCGGAGCTGTATCGGAAGCGGTCAGTGGCTTTCGGGTATATACCGTCCGGATGTTTCGTCATATGTATCGTTTATGCAGAGCGAGGAGCGAGGACCCCCATATTTCCGATCTTAAGGCGATGTACAAAAAAACCATAGAGCACCTGAAGAACACGCCAGAGGTTGGGATTACGATGATGCCGTTACAGTTGATCAGCGATTCCGGAGATATTGATGTGATTACGGTTGCATACGGTGACTCGAGCTGGGCCAACGCGCAGCAGATGAAGAGCCAGACCGGAGCGATGATCGTTTGGGCCAATCGAGACGCACTCTCCGGGTCAGCACCTGCCTCGTTGGCCGATTGGAGGAGCGTGAGGACACAACGTCAGGCGAGGTCCACTTTGTCAGCGGAGGCTTGTGCCGCTGACGCAGCCGTTGATCGAGGATTTTATGCTTCTGTGTTTTTTGTCCGAGGTTTTGACAGGCCGTTCATATGTAGCCAACCGCATGGCTGATCGCACGCCGCCTAGTGTGCCGCCTTATACTATCACGGATTGTAAGAGTTTGTACGACTGTGTTACTAAAGAGAACCCCAGCTTGGATGAAAAGCGGGCGCTTCTCGATGTTCTTTCTATCCAGACCAGTCTCGGTCTAGGTTCGATGAGGTGGGTCCCAACTTCTAACATGATAGCCGACCCTCTCACGAAAGTGTCCGATCAGTTGCGCGACAGTTTAGTTCAGTGGCTTCGCGAGCCTGCCATCGAATTGTTCGGAGCCGTCGCCGAATCAGCATTAGTTTTTGCGCGATTTCTATTTTTGCCGTCAGACGTCTCTCGGAGTTGTCAGCCAACAGAAGAGAGAGAGAGAGAGAGAGAGAGAGAGAGAGAGAGAGAGAAAGAGACCAGTCTGAAACAGTAACTGTTTTAGCATGCCAGCCTTGTCTGCAAACTCCCACTAGACACCCTTTAGCCTCGAGAGGCCCCGAGTGCGTTTCAGCTTCTATTATTGCGATCAGTGTCAGTGTTTGGCAGTTTCAGCTTGCATCGTTGCCCCTCTTAGGTTTGCGCCGTTGCGTGGCCTTTTTTCTCAAACCAGCTTGAGGGGTTCCCTCTTGTAGAGCCGCCAGCTGGCGACATCAGACAGATAACTCAACATATACAGATCCACCGGTAAGCACAGCACACAGCAGACAGATCAGCGATCTGAGATTGCCGGGCTCGAGGCCCGAATCATTATTCCGCTCCCGCTGGGAGCTACATGCGCAGGACTGCAGGCCGTGGCCGCGCTCCGCTCGCGGCAGTGAAAACAAGTCCGATCACACTTTCAACTAACGCGCCTGATTATTTCCTTCCGGTTGCTGTGCCGAACATCTCTGTAGCTCATCTGTTGCTCGGGTTAAGTCAAGAAAACCAATGCCATCCCCAAAAAGTTAGCAGAGTACGAATAGTTTTTTTTCAGCCCCAGCACTGATGGCATACCGAGTTCAGGCGTCTAGATACTTTAAACTAGCGCGCCTGATCATTCCCTTCCGATTGCTGTGCCGAACAGCTCTGTAGCTCATCTGCAGCTCGAGTTCAGTCGAGAAAACCATCACCATCCCAAAACAATTAGCAGAGTACGAATAGTACTTCGACCCCAGCGCTGATAGCAGACCGAGGTCAGGCGTCTAGATACTCTAGCGCGCCTGATCATTTTCTTTCCATTGATGTGCCGAACAGCTCTGTAGCTCATCTGCAGCTCGAATTAAGTCAAGAAAACCATCACCATCGCCAGAAACATAGCAGAATACGAATAGTTTTTTCGGCCCCAGCGCTGATGGCAGACCGAGTTCAGGCGTCTGGATACTTTAAACGAACGCGCCTGATTATTTCCTTCCGATTGTTGTGCCGAACATCTCTGTAGTTCATCTGTTGCTCGAGTCCAGCCAAGAAGCCAATACCATCCCCCAAACAACTAGCAGAGTATGAACAGGTTTTCAGCCCCAGGGGTGATATCAGACCGAGTTCAGGCTTCTAGATACTTTGAGCTAGCGCGCCTGATGATTTCCTTCTGGTTGCTGTGCCGAGCTGCTCTGTAGCTCATCTGCAGCTCGAGTTCAGTCAAGAAAACCATCGCCATCTCAAACGATAGCAGAGTGCGAATAGTTCTTCGGCCCCAGTGTTGATAGCAGACCGAGGTCAGGCGTCTAGATACTTAGAAATATCGCGCCTGATGATTCTCTTCCCATTGATGTGCCGAACAGCTCTGTAGCTCATCTGCAGCTCGAGTTAAGTGAAGACAACCATGATCATCTCCGAAAAATAGCAGAGTGCGAATGGTTATTCAGCCCCAGCGCTGACAGCAGACCGAGTTCAGGCGTCTACATACTTTGAACTAGCGCGCTTGATGATTTCCTTCCGATTGCTGTGCCACACAGCTCTGTAGCTCATCTTCAGCTCGAGTGAAGTCAAGAAAACCTTCACCATCTCCAAAAAAATGGCAGAGTACGAGTAGTTTTTCGGCTCCAGCGCTGATAGCAGACCGAATTCAGGCGTCTAGATACTTTAGACGATCGTGCCTGATAATGTCCTTCCGATAAATGTGCCGAAGAGCTCTGTCATCATCTGCAGCTCGAGTTAAGTCAAGAAGCTCATCATCATCGCCAAAGAAGATTGTAGAGTACGAATAGTTTCGCGGACCTAGCCCGAGTAGCAGACCGAGTTCAGACATCTGGATACTACAGACGAACGCGCCTGACGATTCTAGATCGATTAGGTGGGCCTACCAGCTCTGTAGCTCATCTACAGCTCGAGTTAAGTTGAGAAAACCGACATACCTGTCACGATGTCCCAAAACAGCCGATCCCGCCGGAGTGCTTTTTGGCAGTAATAGGTTCCCGATCGACCTGATATTAAGATGGCGAGCGGGAATAGGATCGAAGATGGGGGGGCAAATACTAGAGCTCAAACGATTTGTGGATTTTTGAGAAATCCAAGTTGAATAGGTCAAAAAAGACAAAACATCCGTCGATATTTTTTTTCCAACTAGCCCCCCAGCGCGCTGGAATTACTCTTCTAGCTTCGCCGCTAGCGCTCTTAGGGAAGCTCTACGAGTCATAAAAAGAAAGGCGCGGCGCGGGCCCCATGGCGGCCCTGGTGCTTGCAACGGCCTTTCGGGTGGCGTGTATGCGGCTCCCGGGACCGGTCCCACGGGTGGCAGTCTCGGTCGTGCTGCGGGCGCGGGTTCCGTCCCCCCGGTTGCAGGTGCGGGTTTCGCTTCCCGTTAAGAGGCGTCCGTCGGGAAGAAGGCGTAGGAAATTCTGAAGCAGAATAACGGCAATGTGGCGACGACGTCTTCACTTTTAGCAATGCACGAAACTGTTCTGGCTCAAGAATTTGTTGCGGCTCAAGAACTCAGTTATTGTGGCTCAAGTTGTTGTGACACGAGCAATCAAATTGAAGCATCGTTGATGGGCGACTCAACCGGCACTTTCGGCTGGCCAGTTTGTTCTTACTCCTGCCTTTCCAGGCAGTGAGCAGTGCGGTCCCGCCGAGCGCGCTTGCGGGCGTTGCTCCGTCGGACACCCCGCCGAGCGCCGCCGTTTTGGTTGGCGATCCCGTTCCTGCTTCTGGCAGTTCGAGCGGTGCATGCCCAGGCGCGGGTGTTGTCCCCCTGGCGCATGCGGTGGCGAGCGGCGCGCCGACTGTTCCTGGTGCGGGTTCTTCCCCCAGTGCAGCGGTTCCCAGTGAGGCGTCGCCCCAGGTGCATGCCCCGGCGCCGGTCTTGTCCCCCCGGTGCATGCGGCTGCGCATGTGTTGTCGGTTGCGTCCAGCAGTTCCCTCTCCTTCTCCTTCTATGGATGAGAAACTCACGTTGGTCATGACAAACATGAGTTTGAAGGTTGAGACGGCGACGAAGGACGACGTCCTCTTCGTGATGAGTTAGCCGATTTTCGTGGTAGATTTACTACTGTTGAAGACCGCGGAGGTTTCTCAAGCATTGGAGGTAAGCAGAATTTGACACTGATGCGCAAGAGGGATGCCTCCAATCGGCGGATTGCCTTCATCGGGTTCGACGGTGTCGATGGCGAGTTCCGAATTAACGAAATTCGTCAGTGCGTGTCTTCGTGGTCGAATGCTTCCTCCGGCGCTATTGGTCATTTGTTCAGCGGGTCGCGGAACAACCGGAAGATGACCCGGGTTTCTTTCGTGGAGTGTCACGCCGAACCTCGCCTCTGATTTCATCGAGCTTGCCAGATCGAAACCTGTCCATGCATCCAGCGGTCAGACTATCACCATCAAGTGCGCGAAGTCGCAGGTTGACTTGGCAAGGGATTGGACTCTGCGCAAGGCTGCCGAACTTGTTAAAACAGATTCTGGTCAGGAGTGTCGGATTGACTTCCGGGCTTGGGTTGTTGAGCTTGGCGAGTTTTCTGTGTGTGAGCAGGGGGATGGTGACCTGGAGGGTCGCTTTGTGGGTGCTTTCTCGCGTCTTTCGCTCCGTTAGGGAGGCGGGGAAGCGCGTTCGCCCAGTGCATTTGCATTACCTGCACTGCGTTCCGCCCACGGTTTAACCGTTTGTGAGCGGCTCCTGGGTTCCAATCGACGATTTCGTCGACGCGGACCGCGTTCGTTCGAGAGCATTTTGCGTAGAGTTCAGAATGTTAGAAGTAATGTGTCTCGTAGCCGTTATTGGGCAGTCCCGGTCGGCAGCTCGAGCCGTCTTAATTCTTTTCGACCCGCATTCGGCCAGAGATACCTCCACGCGGAGAGGACGGATTTTCGACTTGCCTTAGGCCGGCAAATTCGGAGGGCGGATATTCGTCCAGCCTGAATGCGGGCCTTTTCACTTTTTGTACTGCGCTTGCCTCTTCGCCCTCGGCCGTCCCGGCTGATAGTGCCAGTGGGCTTAGTTTTCGACTTTTGCTCACTCCTTCTTTTTCGGCTGTCCCGGCCGGCGAGGAGGCTTCA